ACACACATGACTTAAAAAAATACATTTCATCTTGTTTTTTTTTTTCAGTGAAAAATTGGCCTGAAAGTTTAAACCAAGAATGCTACACATGAGCAAGAGCAAACTCGAAGTCACCAAACTTGATTGATTTCAATAGAAAATCTGTCTTAAAGTTTATATTTCTCTCCACCAGTGTCAAGTGTTTTTGGAGAAAAGAATGAGAAACTAAGCATAAACAAAGCTAGGTGAGGTTGTTTACAAGGACTCACAAGAACTCACTCACTCAATTACTCACTCAGTGCAATGACAAGAGCCCCATAAGGCCTTTCGTCACAAAAATCAAACAGTCAAAATATACAACTTGGCATGTCTGGAAGCTTGTTTCCCATAATATCCTGAATTAAATTGCCATATCCCGGATAAAGAGCAAAATTCAAACACTGCTATTAATATAGCTGCTTTAAAGATTTGATCAAATACTGTGATACAGATGACATTAATTATTTTGACTTTATTTTGCTATATTCTTCAGATTATGYTTGACTTACTTGAGAAGATTGTATATGCTGTTAGATCCGCGATTAACCATGGTAATCACTTCTCCAGTTTTTCTGGTTATATGCCATCTTAGAGACAAACTGAAAAAATATAGCATTTAATACATGGTCAACATTATCATGTGCTGTAATATTATAATATACACCAAAATGCTTCTATTATCCAAATATCACCATAAAATGAATTTCAGATGGTTGAAATCTCTTATATTAGCATTTAAAGTGCTTAGAAAAAGATTGAAACACACAGAGTACAATTTATAGACTTTCGGTAAACTGAAAATGGCCGCCTCCCGGCCCTCCTGGCCCCCAAAGTATAATGGTGCACACTGGGCCTTTAAAGGTTTTAATATTTAGACAGTAAAGGTTACTAGTGGTTAGCAAGAAGCAATACTAATAACTCAATGGACTTTGTTGGGTGATGAGAATTTATTATATGGCTTAGATAGTACGCGCGCTCTGATTGGCTGTTGACAGATAATGACCGGTCGGAATTTTCCTGTAATGCCCGCTCACAGCGGTCATTATTTTTCGCGATTAGACCAGCTTTGACTTTGAGTAAGATGAAGAAAAAACACACAATTTGAAACGCATTGCAAAACAAAGATATCCTTTTAGTTCGTTTACGAAAAAAATAAATGTTTGAAAATTTTTTATTTGCAAAATGAGAGACAACGAAAACTACAGTCAAAGTGAATTTCTTTTACATGTAACTCAAGTTCTTGACGAGACTAGTGCGAAAGCCAACAAAATGGCTACCAAACAGACGAAAACCATTATATTTTTAGTACCAAACCGACGAAAATGACCAAAATCATTATATTTTTAGTAATTGTCTGCAAAAATGCGGGAATAATGGCTCCTTATTTCATAGATTCAGTTAATTTTCATGCACAAATACATTATTACAGTCTACTCACAAACTTTTCAATGATTCTTCTATCGACAAGGCCGGTGTAGGTTTGTTTATTAATTCTTCGATGTGGATGTCCCTCAATATTGAATTACAATTTTCTTCTCTTTCTCCAGCAACCGAGGAGTTATTGCATTGAGCAATTGCAAAAGTAAACTTGATAGACGACGGTTATGTCCCAAGAAGTGCTTGAAAGTTTGCCTGTTTTCAGCTGTTTTCATTGAGAAAGCTTGKCATTTGAACGAGTTCACACTGACTCAAAATTCCTTCAACTGGACTTCCAGGTTTTTGCTCTTTTTTTCTAGTCAACGAGCTCATTGAATTTTTAAGAGGAGGATTTCATTCTCAGCTTTTCTTGTCAAGACACCGGTTTGAATCCCTTCGGCTTTTCACTTTTGTTTTGAGTAGTCTGTAGAGGTATGTTCTTGCTTCTTTTGAGCTTTTACATCTTGACACATCGTTTTTTTCTTCCGACCAATACAATCCTTTTTTAGCTATCTTTAAATTATGGTGAATACTTATCGAGCATTTCTAAGCTGTCTTTAGACTCATGCTTGCCGTCCTCATGAGTAACCAGTTGAGTCAACCACTTCCCTCGCCGTTCATACATAAAATCCAAGTGCTTTTAGCTTAAGTAGCATTTTTGGTGGAGCTAACATCAGCAAAATATCCGACTGTCCGTTCAAAATTTTCAAAGGTACAGTCGAGATCCAACAATGGAAAAATCGAGAGTGACGATGAAAATTGAACATTCGCTAAAATCACTGCAAGGTCTGCACGTGTTGACGTTTTCAATCGTCTTAATTTTGACGTAYTTTCCAACTATTTTTACAAACTTTTGGATGTTCTGAAACTTTTTAAGCTAAATTACCGTGTTTTGTGGAATAAAAACGGTTTTGTGACATAAATTGTGCTATATTAAACACATTTTCAAACAAATTGTTGTATTTTTTCGACACTGGACATGACATTGAATGAACAAATGCGCGCGCAAGAGGAAGTGTTAAATCACTTCCGTTCTTTTATTTTCTTCACGTTATATATTTTATATTTTTTTATTAAGAGAGCCAAATATTAAATAACTTATTAACCTCGTCCGTTCGGTCATTACAGGGAAATCTCAGACCTCGGTCTTGTTTGTATGAACCTCGCTATCGCTCGGTCCATACTTCCAAGACCTCGGTCTGAGATTTTCCTGTAATGACCTCACTCTCGGTTAATAAGTAGTATATAAAGATGGACAAAAGGAACATAATGACTATTAAACATAATTAAAATTTATGCTAAGGAATCCTTTACTTACCTGTGAAGGTGCTCAAAGAGTTTAACTTGCAAAGTTCTACCAGTAAATTGCTGAATCCGGATCCAAATAAATGTGCGCAGATTGCTCAAAAAACCACTATTTCCTTTAAAGTTATAAATTATTATTAATTAACTTCAAGACTGGTAAGTTGAAGTCGCTCAATCAAAAACAAGTACAAAAAAGGTAATAAAAAAAATAAAATAAAATAAATTATATTTACAACGTAAGGTAATTCATTGATCAATAAAATACACACTATACATTATATCATCACATTGCTCCTATTCTCCCTCTTCTAGCTGCTCCAACGAAAAAAAAAAAAAACAGAACAGGAAGCCCATGACTCTTAGCAATGCCTGTGGAGAAGGCTAAAAACTACAGTATTTTTACAATCACTGTRCAAATTTTCTTTGGAATTGATCCAGTAACTACTGCAAAYGAATGTTTCAAAGTTGTGCGTTCTGATTAAAAACTAGTCCCAAGAAAATCCCAGTTTTGGCATGAAAGGATTAAAAGATTATTTACTGCATGATGACAAACTGATCAGTGTACTAGCCAATAATCGTCAAGTGATAAATGTGATACCAGAGACTGTTTACAACAATGTGTTTTAAGAGGAGAGATCTAGAGTGTTCAGAGGACTTTGCGATATATTTTGGAAGTGTTTTTCCGAGTGCACGTGTTTAGACAGTCTATTCATTGAAAGAGTATTGATTGGTATAACTATACATGTATTGATATTTGCATTGTGTATACTTTTTACAATTTACTTTTCACAATTTTTATCCTTCAATAATTATGAAAACAGGTTTTAAAAGTATGACAGAAAAATATGTAATGCATTTTGCTATAAAATTACCTCCACCAAATAACTTCAAGATGACATACAGTGCTATCAGCGAGTAAGGATCAACAATGTGGCCATGCCCATTCAGTTTATTTACTGCAAGAAAGGAAATCATTCACACAATACAAATAACGAATATAATATGTCAAATTATAATCATATYAAATAATATACAATAATGTGCAGATTAATACATGGTCCAAACAAGTAAATTTTGAAGTKGCTTCTTTGCTCTTCTTTTCCATATGTTATCACTAGTACAACTTGTAATGTATTCATTATACCAACTACGACATACCAATGAGTTTGTAAGAGTAAGGAATAAGCACATTTACAGCTCTTCCAAGTCCAAGAAAGATGAAACATATAACAACTCTCATCTGGAGCCATCTGTAAAAACAACAACAACAACTTAAAACAAAACATTTTTAAAAATTCTGAAAAACAACTTTCAAATAAAAATCATTATGATCATGTTCACTTGAATTGGTTATTTGTACAAATATTTCAAATACCAGTATATGAACAGATATACATGCCGTAATGCATCCTCTTTCATTTAATGTAGTACAGCTTTCTCTCATACCTATCTTTGGGCCAAAGGAAAGGCCATAATAGTTTAAATTTCTTCAATAAATCTTTGTATGCTGACTGGCCAGTTCGATCAGATACCTGTGAAATGATGAAAAGTATTTTTAACTTTTTTACATAAAATCATACAAACATATAGCCATGAAGTGACCAGGAACAGTAATATTATAATGAAGGACAGTGACATGTTCTTAAAATGTGGTGACTATTAACACTGTTATTTATCTTATCTTAACACTACATGTATATATGCATATAGTGTTATGATAAATAACAGTGTTAATAGCAGTGTTTTCCCATTAGTGAATCCTAGTTGTGAATGGCATATTATCTTATTATAGCAACCATTTTACCTTGCTGTATAGTAGCAGAGTATAGCTTAAAGTCATACTTGACTAAGAATGCAACACATAAGAAAGACCAAACTTAATTTTGAAATTCTGTCTTAAAATCTACATTTTCTTTTTTCCAATGTAGAAAATAACAGGAATTAGGAGTTTGCTCATGACAACTTGCAAGGAACACCTGTTACAAGTGGATGGTTACCATCACTCACTGACAACATAATGACATAATGAGGCCCCTAATTATTTGATTCCTTATTTCAATTGTTACAGAAACAATCTCTAATTKCAATAGTCTATCTTATGGACTGCCTGATAACAAGCTGCAAAAGCTAAAATGAGTTCTTGTCAGAGTGAAGACTGTACATGTACTACCATGTTACCCTCCCCATTATTGTGAGAATTAAAATGATTACTGACAGAATATGGGTTAACAATAAAATCCTACTTCTCACATTCAAATCTATTCATGCTCCAACCTACTTGCAAAAAGTGGTTGGAAGACAGACAATAAAGTATGTGTACAACCTCAGATCATGGCAATCATTGCTCTTGAATGTCCACTTAAAGAAATCTTACTATTGTAAAAACAACATTAGGGACAGGTTGTATTTGATACATCTGGAGATTCTAACACTACATGTATATCTTGTTGAGTATTCATGATCAAATATGCATGAGCTTACCACATTTGTTGCATCATTTCGTCCTTGTTCGTTTGTCACGAAAATAGGCTTAGTCTTATACAACCCTGGTCCTTTCATTCCAATTAGAAAAAGCAATAACATGCATACATATCTTGTAGTAAACAGTCCAAGCTCTAACTTGTCCAAAGTGGAGTTTAAATGAAACCACCAATTGTTGTTGTTCCARGAAATAAAAGAAAGGTTTTCTGCTACAAAGCTTAAAGACCAATAGAGAATCAATCCAAAGGAGTGCCTTTGTATCTTTGCTTTGAAAAATTGGAAACTTTCGTGTCGAAGGACAGTAAGAGCAATAAGCCATGTTAACACCATTGAGGAGCAGTAGAACACATCAACACCTTGTATTCCACTTGAAAACCTTATAGAGAGTTTTGCTATAATGTGAATGATAGGCACAATAATCAAGCATACATGCAAGAATTGCTGAAACGTATAGAAAAATGAAGTCTGGCTGTCACCATGAATAAATGTGATGGGGTTGGCAGTCTGATCAGCATACTTGTCCTGTAAATGCTTATTGATATACCATGTGGCATCATTGTCAGAAAAAGACTGTGATGTTTCTACATCTTCAAATGAAAGCGATCTCCTGTATATGTTTTTGTAGCTTCTTCTTCTTTTGATGTACTTTAATAAGGCAATTACTAGGATAAAACCTGAAGTCAAAGCAGTGACATTAATTATATCATATTATATCATATAGTACTTTGCTTTTATTTACTTACTAATTAAACTAGTGCATTCAATAAAACAATATTCAAGTCTGAATATACGTCAAAGCAACTTAYATGAACTTCAGGGATTAGACAGGGATTAAAAACAATCAACAGTGTAGCCCCAGTCCATAAAGGATGAAAGGAATCAACTAAGCAAAAGTGACCCTTCAGTATAAATTTAATGTTAAAAAGCAAAAGGAAGCCAATTCATGGTTGCTTCCATCAAACACATAACATTTAGGAGTTATAGCTCATGGGCAAGTACAGGGTACACTAGGGTGCAAGTTTAATAAAAAGGTTCTGCTGAACTCCAAGGTCGCAAAAAGAAAAAATATTATTCCAATTTACAAGATGTAATGTATCCCATGTGAATTGACATGTTCCATGCATAGTATATAGCCATTACATAGTAGAACAGTTTATTATTGAATACAGAAAAAGAATTAAAATCAAGCCACCAATGGCAACATAACTCGAAGATTGATTGTATAGACGAATACGGAAAACTAAATGTACGATGAATCAAATTATAATAATCTTAAGAATGCTTACTCTGTAACAGTGTGAATTAATATTAACTGAAAGTTGGTTCAATTGAATCCCTACCAACTGTACGGCACCASTGTTTATATTGATACTATTCGATATCTAACCACACAATAAACTATATATCAAATATTACAATGTAATAAGCTTAGTACGGTAGCGAGTGAATACTCTTTTTGAATTGTAGACAAACATAGATAAATAAAACATACAAAAATGATTTTTGAAACGAAGTCGGATCGGCGAGTCTTCCACCTATTTTTTCTTATTATTTTAACTTCGATTCTAGATAAGCATGGCCGAGCGCCTGCAAGTTAAAAGACAAGTCTAGCCACTATTKTGTAACATTAGCACGCGTGGCCGAGTTGTAGTGCCTTTGATTTCCGATTCAGCGGGCCCAGGTTCAAGTAAATAAATTCAATGAAATATATAGCACAGGGAAACAAGGAAAATTAGTGAATAAATTTCTATAAAACTACATGCATGGCTGAGTGAACTCCGGGTTCTGCTTGATTGTAAACGRCGAAATGTGACAACAGTTTGAGTATTGTAATCGAAGAATTGGACTGTATTGAACCATAATAAAGTTAATATTAATACTATCAAAAGGGTAAAGCAAAAAATACTTCCTGGAATGAAAAATAATAAAAAAAACAGTGTACTCAGCATTAATATTATGAAAAAATTGATCATCAGCAAGCCGGTCTCAATTTGATAGTCGTATGGCAGGCTGTAAACACAGAGTCTTTTATCTTCTCCGCTTGATTTAATACTTCCAATCCTTGGTTTTTCCTCTGTTCGCACTCCTTAGATGAGTCCTTTGTAGTTTCAGAGCCTGTATATGCTAGTTTATAGTTCGCTTTTGATAAGATAGGTAGCTTGTTTGATAAACAATTCTCAACAGACTCGATCGATAGACAGTAAGATAAAATTTCACAATATTGAAGTTTCATGATAAATTTGTGGTATTTCTCCAAATGCCCTTTTGAAAAACGTCCGACATTTTTTAGTGTCCCTATACCACGAAAGGGTGGATTTGTAAGTGATTTGAGCATATTTGTAGATATTGAATCTATGTCTTCTTCCATCATGCGTTACACTCTGCTGAGCTTGGGCTACCTGTGGGCAATTTATGACTGATAAGCGACAACAATGAAAAAAATAGAAGGCCAAAATTTAAACTCGGGATTCCTTTGGAACCCTGAGTAATAATTAGAATATATAAATAATTATGAACACAAATATCGCAGGCTCAAGTTTACAGGAAAGTGACAGTCTCGTACCGAGAGCCTGCACTTTTGCCATCGTGAGAATCGAAAATGATGCGAGCGCGCATTGTTTTCAAGTCGGTTTTTCAAGTCGCCAGCGCGCGCTCGCCCTGTTAGTCAAGAAAATCATCCTTTTCTCGCATAACCACACMTGTTTTCACACATTTTTGTTTTTAAAAAGGTGTAAATACCTTTTCTTAACTAAGTTGTGTGCTAAACCTCCTTCTTTTTTATCATTTTGATGCTCTAAAGCGTCAAAAACAAAACTGACCTAATTTGCATAATTTGCGAYGGAAAAGCGTCGCAAATCCAGTCGATTCCTCCAGAGCCTTTCAGCATGCCGCTGAAATTAGCCGTGAAGACTCTGGGCTGGAGATTGGGATATTCAAGTGAGTGACAGATTCGTCCCCCTCCAATAACTCTTCGATTGCTTTGCAATCTTCGAGATAAAAATGAATTGGTAGAGTTAATAAACTGAAAATCTGCAATACTAAATTCTTCAATAAAAAAATGTCAAAAATTAATTACTCATCTTATTTTAGTAAATTTTCTCTGAATTGTTTGGTTGTAATTATTTTGCTTGATGTTCTAGTGAAGTAATGTTTAAAGTCCGACAATGAGGACTGGACGGGGTTTCAAGTCCGCGCAATTAGTTCCAGTCCGAGGCGGTTGCTGAGGACTGGAACTAATTGCAAGGACTTGAAATCCCGTCCAGTCCGAATTGGAGGACTTTGAACGACTTCTCATACTCATTAATTATTCGGGAGGGGAAAAAAGCGAAGGAAATACATATAACAGAAATATATTGATTTATTGCATCTCCACAAAGGTTTTCAGTTTTCATAATTTTGAATAAAGAAGCACYGTTTGTTGTTTTCCAATTCCCGAACGGCTTTCTGAAACAAAAGCTTTTCAAATTGTCTTTGTTTGCTTTTCATGGCATTCCTAATGAGCCTAATTCATAAGTTTTATAAGTATGTTATCTTCCAAGGAATCGCATCAGAAACTCGGTGGTGTAATGGTATAARACGGCGCATATAGATTGGACGGTTCGGGATCGTTTCGTGAGGGAGYCATTTATCAAACTGATCAAAGATTGATTATTTCTAATAATTTGATTATCATTAGCTAGTAGTAGTTAGAAAAAGCTAGAAGTAACTAGAATCAAGGTAAGAGTAACTGGAAATAAGATAGAAGTAACTAGAATCAAGGTAAGAGTAACTGGAAATAAGATAGAAGTAACTAGAAACAAGGTGGAAGTAACTGGAAATAAGATAGAATACAAGGTAGGAGTACTTCCTCTGGTATCCAGTTACTACACGTGGTACAAATTACAATCAGAGGGATTGGCTAGATACCTCATGAATAATTAATGAGTATGAGAATAATACATGTATATTATAGTTATGTATGAGCCAAAGGTGCCCATCCCCCCCAGGGCGAATCCCCGGGCATTTGACTTTTTGGAAAAAAATTGGTCAAATTCCCCACCATATGGGCAAAATTGACAGTCAAATGCCCACTAATACAAGCAAATGAGTGGTCAAATGCCCGCCCCATAAGTCAGTTTTTTTACGCTGGTTTTCGAATGTTTTTGTCGCTTTTTGTATCGTGATTTCTCATCGTGAAAGTACAAAAGATCGAGAATGTTCCCAAAAATGATTGTAAGCCTCGTGGCTGCTAATAGCGATCCGTGATCATGTGAAGCGCCTTTGAACTGTAATAGTCCAGTCATCCTGTGAAATTTTTTGGGTTGAGTTCAAACAAATTGTAAAAGAATGTTTTTCACTTCAGAATCAAAGATAAATGCCAGCTAGCAAACATACTAAAAATTCGCAAAAATTCGTGTGGTGGAACATTGTGAAATTAAGTGTCAAACTTCTTAAAATACAACAACGATCACCACAGGGTACCCACATCTTGTAAAATTCCACACATTTCATTTGTGTGCAAAGTTTTGAACTTTAAATTGAGATAACATTCATAAACAATAAAAGATATTGTTTCTAAATTGTTATTGTATTAATTTTGCATTTGCAAATCTTTTTTAATCCATTTGAGATAAAAACTAACGTTTTGGAGTCCCTGTGTCTCGAGGAACGCCTGGGAGTTGTCAA